CTCAAAAAAAAAAAAAAAGTGCTCTTAAAACTATCTACTCCCAGGTACTCTGGAATATCCCACTGTCAGTTATCCATGTTCTTGTTATCTTCAATTCCTTCCTTTCCTAGTCTACCAATATGCTTAGGTCTTTCCCATCTTTAGAAAGAGAGGGAGGGAAGGAAAGGAGAACTTTCCCCCTTCAGTTAGCACCTCTTTCCTCCTCTTTAAGGTCAAAAATATATATATATATTTTTGAGTTAATTTCTCACTGTCACCAGGCCGGAGAGAAGTGGCATGCTCACAGCCATTGCAGCCTCAACCTGCTGGGCTCAGGTAAGCCTTCCACTTCACCTTCCAAGTAGCTGGAACTACAGATGTGCACTACCGCGCCCAACTAATTTTTTGATTTATTGTAGAAATGAGGTCTCACCAAGTTGCCCGGGCTAGTCTCAAACCCATGGACTCAGGCAATTCTCTCACCTCAGCCTCCCAAAGTGTTGGGATCATAGGCGTGAGCCACCACGTCTGGCTTAAGGTCAAACTTCTTAAAGGAGAAATTTTTTGTTAACCTAACCATGCCTCAGTGCTCTTTATTAGAATCCCAGGCACTTACTACTGGCCAAATTTAATGAAGATATTTTAATCCTACTTGGCTATATAGCTTTTGAAACTTCTTTCTTATTCAACTTCTAATTCTTATTCAACTTCTTTCTTATTCAACTTCTTTCTTATTCTTATCTCTGGTCAGTTACTATTCTACTCTTCCAGGCTCATATAAGGGGTTTAATCCTACATAATTCTATTATGGGCCCTTTTTCCTCTCATTTTACAATTCTTCCATTTCAGTCTTATCCTCTTGTGATCCTTTGACAACTAACTTTAATAAACAAACTTTCTTGGGGAGGGGGTCTCATGGCCCTACACCCTCATCAGTTAATTGGGAGGCTCAGTCTCCTACCAATTAAACACATAAGTAAAAATAAAAATAAGCTGGGCTCGGTGGCTCAGCCTGTGATCCCGCTCCTTTGGGAGGCTGAGGTGAGTGGATTGCCTGAGCCCACGGGTTCGAGACCCGCCTGGGCAAGTTGGCGAGACTTCATCTCTACAATAAATTAAAAAAGCAAAACTGATCATTTCCTTCTAAAGCCTCTTTAACTCTTTATTTTGAAATAATCTTCAAACCTGCAAAAAAAACTTCTATGTAAGAACAATACCAAAAATTTTTTGCTGATCCATTTGACGTAAGCTGCCTTGCCATACTCAAGTATGTTAGTGTTTTTCTTATAAAGAAGAACATTCTCCTTGTATGGTTATCTAATGCTGCATTACAAATTAGTCCGAAACTCAGCAGTTTAAAACTAAAAATGTTTAATGTCACATGGTTTCTGAGGGAGGGAATCTGGCAGCACCTTGACTATGTATGGTCTGGCTCTGGCTCTGGAATCTTGTGAGGTTGCACCTAAACTTTTAGTCAGGGCTTCAGTCTCTGAAGACTTGACAGTGGTTATAGGATCTGCTTTCACACGGCCCTCTCCATAGATTGCTGAAATGAACTCAACATGGCAGCCAACTTTCTCCAGCGCAGGTGATTCTGTGGACAGCAGGTAGGAATTTGCAGGGTCTTTTATGATCTATTCTTGGAAGTTATGCAGCATTATTTCTACTTTATTTGTTAGAAATGAGTCACTAAGTTTAGCTCACACTCCAAGGGGAGGGGTATAAGGCTTCCCCTCTTGAAGGGAAAAGTATCAATAAAATTGTAGATGTTTTTAAAACCACCATATGCCAATAAACAATAACACAATCTTCAAAATCAGGAAATTAATGCAGATATATAACTATCATCTAATCCTCAGATCCCATACAAATTTCTCCACTTGACTCAATTATGCTCTTTACAGCTAAAGGATTAAAGTGAGAATCAATCATGGCTATTCTCCCCACCCCCCCTTTTGAGTTGGGATCTCACTCTGTCACCCAGGTTGAAGTACAGTGGCATAATCACAGTTCACTGCAGCCTCAAACTTCTGGGCTCAGGTGATCCTTCAGTCTCAGCCTCCCAAGTAGCTGGGACTACAGGCACATACCACCACACTCCACTAATTTTTCTATTTTTTTGCAGAGCTGAGGTTTCACTATGTTGCTTACGCTGGTCTCGAATGCCTGAGCTTAAGTGATCATCCCACCTCAGCCTCCTAAAGTGCTGGAATTACAGTGTGAGCCACCATGCCCAACCGACCTAGTGGTCACCTCTTTTAAGTCTCCTTCAATCTGCAACAGTTCCTCTTTCCTTGAGGTTCATGACCTTTACAATTTTGAAAATGACAGGGTCAGTTATTTTATAGAACATTCTTCACTTTGAATCTGTTGATGGTTCCTCATGATTAGATGTGGCTCATACATCTTTTAAAGGAATATCACAGATGTGTGGCTATGTTTTTCTGGTAGCATCCTGTCTGATGGGACATGATTTCAATTTATCCCATTACATATTTATTTTGATCATTTGACTACGGTGGTGTCTGACAGGCTTTGTCACTGTAAAGTTACTCATATTCCCATTATAATTCCTGCTTCTTTTCCAGTCTCATCTCCCATGACTCTTTATTCTCTAGACCTAACTGTCCAGCTGCTAGCCACCTGTGACCACTGAGAACCTAAAATGTGGTCCAAAGATTTTCCTTTGAAATGTCTCTTATGTTATATAAATTGTATGATCCCTTTCTTGGAATATGTGCCTATTGTAATGAAGAATTCCCCTTTCAGACTTGAATGAAGACATGTTTTAGAGGTCAAATTTTAATTTGTCAAAATCAATCATATTTATTTCTAGTATAGTCTACTACTTAACTTTATTCTTCATTGTACAGAAGTTTTTTTTTTTTTCTTTTTTTTTTCATGGAGATGAGGTTTCGCTATGTTGCCCAGGCTGGTCTCAAGCTCTTGGGCTCAAGCAATCCTCCCACAAAGTGTTGGGATTACAGACATAAACCACCGCACCCAGCCCAGAAGTTTGTTTTTCATGTAGTCTACTCTATTCATACTGATTTACTAATTTGTTTGTTTCCATAAGAACTGTCTTTATTGCCAGGCATGGTGGCTCATGCCTGTAATTCCAGTACTTTGGGAGGCAGAGGCGAAAGGATTGCCTGAGCCCAGGGGTTCCAGACCAGTCTGGGCAACTTGGCGAGACCTCATCTCTACAATAAATCAAAAAATTAGTCAGGTGTGGTGGTGTGCACCTGTAGTTTCAGTTACTTGGAAGGCTGGAGTGGAAGGATCGCCTGAGCCCAGCAGATGGAGGCTGTGGTGGTCATAAGCACACCACAGCACTCCAACCTGGGCTACAGAGTGAGACTCTAACTAAAAAAAAAAAGAGAAAGAACTGTCTTTATTTCCCCATGTTCCAAAATTACTATACTATTTTTAAAAATCAGCTTTTCTAGCTTAAAGAAAAACATTCCCTTCAGAAATGTAAACTTCATCTATTTTTACCACAACAAATGTTATTTTTCTTGTATTAAAGATCCCCAAATTATGTTCCTATAATATTAAACTGCTTTGCATAAGAAATATAAATGAAATAAGCATAAAAATAATCATAGCTATCCCAGTTCTAAATAAAACTGACACACACCTTCAAATTAAAAGTTAATGAAAAAATGGTTATTTTCAGAGCATAATTAACCAAATTTATTTTTAAACTGACACAGATGATCAAGCTAACAAACTGCTAAAAATACTAACACTAAAGTCAGCATTGAAAAGCACCAACCTGTTCCATTCTTTTCACTTTTGGCTGTAGCACTTGTTCGCTTTGGAGTACGTTTTTGCTTTTTTGCCAACAACCCACCATTTCCATCACCTGGCCTTTTCTGACCTGAAATAAGGTGAAAGAGAGAGTTTGAAGAAGAAGAAAAAAAAAAAAAAAGAGCAAGTATATTTATTCGCCTAACTTCAGTTATTTCTATATTTTTTTTTGAGAAAGAAAAGAAAGCACTTTACAGATCAACAGTACCTACAACCCTTAAGATTACTTTTTGGTTTTAATATAAAGGTTCACTTTTTCCCCTAAAAAGTTCTTACCCTTCTCTCTGCTCTCTCTTTCTTGCACAATTATACTACAGGTACCAGAGGCAACACTGGTTTCAAACCCATTTGCTGATTCTCTCTCACAGAGACCTTCTTGAGATTCTTCAGCAATACTATCAACTTCGATGGTTATGTCACTCTCACTTTTTATACTTCGAGACTCATCCTGACTGAGAGTCAGTGGTGAAGCTATGGAAAAGTTATGTTGGACTACAGGAGGTAGGGCAGGTGGAATAGAAACAAGAGAGTTAGATTCAGAGCTTTCAACTGCTACATCCTCGATACTGATCTTATCCTTTTCATCCAAATCATCCAAATCTACTTCATGGCAAACCAAGGTTTCAGGTCCAATCAGAGGCATTGCATCCTCTTCTTCTTTGAGTGGAGTATTTACAGTTTCTTCAGATGGATGAGCAAATCTTTCACTAGTTAATTGTTGAATGCATTGGTTTGACTCTGCTATCAACGATGGCATTCCCTCATTTTCCGTTTCAAAGTGCTGTTCAAAATTTAAGTTTTTCATTACCTCAGATCTAATACAATCACTGGTCCTTTCTTGAGATACACTATTTGTCATTTCCATTCCATTCTCAATTCTTACTTTTTTCTCTGGTGATGATTGTCCTATTATTTTCCGTTTCAACTTTTTTTCTTTTGCACATTGGTCAATTTCATCTTCAGCAGCAGAAGAATAGGTTTTACTGTCTAAAGAAGAAAATTCGAGGCTGTGAGCTTCTATATGAGGTTCACTTCCTGCTTCATTCTGGCTAAATGATGAAATCTTTATTATTTCTAAAGAAAGATCTTTTGTCTTGTTTCGTCTTCCCTTTCCTTTAGTAGATTTTTCTGACTCTTTCTTAACTTCTTCCACTTGTTCCATTTTGTTTCCAAAAATCTGTACTATTTGTTCATTTTCTCCAACTTCCACCTTCATGGTTTCTAAAGGCTGCATTTGAGTCCTGTCATTTTCTTTCAATATATGTGCAGCAATCTTTGGATTTTCTTCATCTAGTTTATCATCATTTAAATTTTCATTTTTTTCTAGCTCTTCTTTAATATCAAGAGAAAGTTCTTCATTTATTAAATTCTTTTCTAAAGGGTCTTCTGTTTCACTATCAGATGAACAAGAGTCTGTAAGAGGAAATATTATTATATTATGCAAGTTTTTCTACTAATTACCAATGTAATTTTATAATAAAAATCTTACCCCAAACAAACAAAACCTCTAAAATATACCTCTGAATACCTCCCTGTAGAAAATTTTGATATAAAATAAACTATAGTATTTGTGCCAAAGGTTTTGGGGACATTTTAAATTAAATTCCAGGTAAAAATACATTACATTTGCTGTGATGACTATCTTAGGACACCTTGGAATAACCATGAAAGGAAACTATTCTGAGCAGCCCTTTCACCCTTATTATTTTTTAAAAAGAAAAATACATTACGTTGCACCTTACTATCTCAGTTTTATATAAAGAGCTACTTTGCAATATTCACTAGTTTCATATTTAGGCTATAATAGCCTTTAGAAAAATCAAAGGGCCAGTACTGATATGAAGTTGATATGTTATGTGGTTTGAGATAAGATTTAATAGGTACTGATTAACACATGTGATGGCCATTTTGTGTGCTAAGAAAGGAATATAACATTCCACTGAAATTAACTGTGGAAAGAAGAGATGTTTAAACACATAATTTGAATTCCTAAAACATTAAATATTCTTGTTAATGAACAAGAATGCACAATCAAGCCGCCTTCTTGCAAAAGAAACTATGCCTGAAAGTCAGACTATTTTTAAAATAATAAAGTAGGATTCTAAGACTGCATAGGAACTATAAAATATAAAAATTCTGCCTACAAGGTGCTTATAACCCTCAAGAAGTTCTAAATGGCAAACAAGAATATATTTTTTGAAGTTAAAAGGTGTATAAAGTTTTATTTTGTGGTTTTATTAAAAGTAGAATGTAGAATTCATTTTTCTCAGTAGTTCAAGCCTGTAGTCCCTGCACTTTGGGAGGCTAAGATGGGAGAATCACTTGAGCCCTGGAGTTCAAGGCTGCAGTGAACTATGATTGCACCACTGCACTCCAGCTTGGGTGGCAGAATGAGACCCTGTGTAAAAAAAAAAAAAAAAAAATCCGGCCAGGCTCAGTGGCTCAGCCTGTAATCCCAGCATTTTGGAAGGCCGAGGTGAGTGGATTGCCTGAGCCCGCGGGTTCGAGACCTACCTGGGCAAATTGGCGAGACCTCATCTCTACAATAAATCAAGAATTAGCCGGGTGTGGTAGTGCGCACCTGTAGTTCCAGTTACTTGGCAGGCTGAAGTGGAAGGATTGCCGGAGCCCGGCAGGTCGAGGCTGCAGTGGCCGGGAGCAGCCACTGTACCCCAGACTCCAACTCAAAAAAAAAAAATCCTTTTATGAGTAGTTTAATAAAGCTGCTAGGCATAGTTTTGTAGGTTGTGCACCGCACAAAGACATGCCTGCTAAGAGTGCACCTTTTACTTTGTGGACATCTTATATTTGTGTATTATGACAGACTTCCAGCAGATGGCAGTAAAAAAGGAAAAATGTCATCTTTTGAGTCGCCCAGACTGGAGTGCAATGGCATGCTCACAGCCACTGCAGCCTCGACCTGCTGGTCTCAGGTGATCCTTCTGCCTCAGCCTTGCAATTAGCTGGAACAGGCCCATGCCACCATGCCCGGCTAATCTGGTCTCGAACCCAAGGGCTCAGGCAATTCTCTCTCCTCGGCCTCCCAAAGCGCTGGGATTATAGGTGTAAACCACCACTCCTGGCCAAGAATGCCATTTTATAATTTGCACACAAGCACCATATGGGCTAATAGCAAACCTGCAGTCCAGAATAGCTTTTTTCTTAAAAGGAGGGACATTTTTTTTGCCGGGCTCGGTGGCTTAGCCTGTAATCCCAGCACTTTGGGAGGCTGAGACATCATCTCCACAATAAATAAAAAATTAGCCAGGTGTGGTACCGCGCGCCTGTAGTTCCAGCTACTTGGAAGGCTGAGGCAGAAGAATCGCCGGAGCCCAGCAGATCGAGGCTGTGGTAGCCGGGAGTGTGCCACTGCACTCCAGTCTGGGCAATGGAGTGAGACTCCAACACCAAAAAAAAAAAAAAAAAAAAAGGGACATTTTTATATAAGACAATAATTTAAAATTTCTTAAATTACATTTAAAAATATGCAATGGCATAAAAATGAGGGAAACAAAAGCAGAATAAAATATGGTCACCTATACTCATAACAAAACATGCCTATCCCACATTAGTTTGTACTCTCTTTGAACATCACAGTCTAACTTTGTTGAAAAAATCTAAGTGAACAGCACTATATTTACAGAAGACACAGGTTCATGCTCTGAAGGAAAGTGTAGCATACCAGAGGGAGACTCCCCACCTCAAAAGAATTATTTTTTGGAGGGCGGGCCCCTTGTACAGGCTTCCTCTGCTAGGTAAGTGTTCTAGGAACCCATCAGGATCAGTGTACCAGCTAGCGTAGTTGTGAGAGGCTGTGTTTGGCTTCAGTGAATTTTGTTTTTTTTGGAGTCTTTCAACACATTTGCCCATTTCATGATGGGCGATTTATGAGCATACCTGTCCACACTACACTGAGTGTTCAGCAGTTTTTAACCAAAAACAGCATGACCCTCATACCCCATTCTCCTATTCACCCCATCTTTTCCCCAAACAACAGTTTTTTTTGTTTCCCCAGATGAAAAAAGTCCTCAAAGAGAAACATTTTGCCAATGTGGAAGATGTGAAACTAAAAATGACAGAAGCACTAAAAGGCATCAAAATTGACAAGTTCAAAACTGTTTTGAGCAGTGGAAAAAGCATCTCAGTAAGTGTATTTCATCAAATGGAGAGTACTTTGAAGATGACTGAAGTTTAAACATGTAAGAATTTCAAATACACATTTTATAAATAAATTCCAGGTTTTTTGGGGGCCCCCTTGTATACTAGGATATATGGATTTTCAATTCATTCTCTAGTAAGAGAGAATATTTCTAAGATATTTATGAGAAAAGGTATTCCTAAATTAAAACATCACTAAATTTTAAATCAAAATTATACAGCAAAATGAATATTCTCTTCAAATCAATTTTTGTAGTTTAACTCATATGAGATTAAAAATGTGGATGATTTACAGGTTTAGCATCCCTAGTCCAAAAACCTGAAATCTGAAATGCTCCAAAATCCCAAACTTTCTGAGCACCGACATGATGCCACAAGTGGAAAATTCCACACCTGACCTTACGTGATGCGTTATAGTCAAAGCACAGGCGCACAACACAAGTTTCTTCAGCATCCCCAAGGTACAATGTACAATAACCTTTTAATCCAAACACAGAATCACAGATGGAGGCTGAAAGCCTGTAGTTTGTTGATGCCGTTGTTTAACAGCTGATTACAGGTGTTCTGAGAATGCTACCATTCTGCTTAGTTACCCTGAACGCGTTTTTTTCACTGTATTGATGGCAAGTCTTATTTTTTTATTGTTACGTACTTATGTGCAAGTAAGTGTAAGAAAATGACCGCTTATGGGTAGTATATAAGTTCAGAGTCAGGAATGATGGTGACGCCAAACAACCACAGACTGTCCATACAGGGGGGCAGAGATAGAGACACCTTTGCTTTCTGATGGTTCAATGTACACAAATTTCATTTCATATACAAAACTATTAAAAATATTGTATAAAATTACCTTCACTCTATATGTATAAGGCGTATATAAAACATAAATGAATTTCATGTTTAGACGTGGGTCCCGTCCTCAAGATATCTCATTATGTAAATGCAAATATTCCAATATCCAAAATAATCCAAAATCCAAAATACTTGTCCCAAGCATTTCGGGTAAGGGATACTCAACCAGTACCATGAATATCTCATATCATGGAAGTTTTACTATTGATTTTTTTAAAAAAAATCAGCAATCCTCAAAATTGAGCACCTTTCATTCCATTTGACAGAGGTAAGCTGTCTGGTATATAGCTGCAAGCACTTCTGGTACCTGATTTTCCTTCACTGTTTGCTGACTTAGATAAGCCATATGGCATGTTTGATGAAAGGGTCGATTTCAAAGGTGGTCGTCCCCGTTTTGACTTCTGCCTCTCCTCATCCCTTTTTTCGTCTTTTTCACTATCTTCTTTATTCTGCATAACAACAAAATGTGTGAAAAGAGCTAATGCCTTATGTAAAATGAACATCCTACTTCTCCAACTCAAAAAAGGTTAGATATTTTATATGTCAACTCTTAATCTGTGCTTACAGGAAAATTAACAGATTTCTAACTTATTTTGTATTTATGGGAATATGATATTCTACAATTTGTACCAACACAATTGTATTGTGACAGACCAACGCATCAGAAAGCTATACAACACCCCCCCCTTGTTCCTTACTATCCCCTGAGGAAAACAAAAAGATCTACCATCCAACAGACAAAACATTAGGCAAATTTCTACAGCAAAGATTAAGAATTGAGGATGTGGGTGAGGGTACAATTATCTAGTACATATGGGATCTAAAATATTAATATTGGCTTTCAGCATTTAAAAATCAATCTTCACTTTTTTTTTTTTTTTGAGTTGGGTCTCACTCTGTTGCTCAGGCTAGGGTGCAGTGGTATGATCATGGCTCACTATAACTTCACCCTTCTGGGCTCAGGCTCCAGCTCAGCCTCCTGAGTAGCTGGGACTACAGGCACATGCCATGACACCTGGCCAATTTTTTTTTGTTTGTTAAGATGAGGTCTCACTATGTTGCCCAGGCTGGTCTTGAACTCCCGGGTTCAAGCAATCCTGTCGCCGTAGCCTCCCAAAGTGCTGGGATTACAGGTGTGAGCCATTGCACCCAGCCGGATTTCATATTTTAAAAATATAGTGGTCTTGAAATATATTAAATCTGGCAACCCTGACTCTGCATTTCCACAGCACAGTGGTTAGTCTGACCCTCTCTAGATGAAGAATGTGTCTTGTTTGTCACTATTAGTCCTGCTTTACCCTTTCCCTATAAAGCCTCTAAAGGCATCTGAGTTTGAAATCCATGCCCTAAGGGATGCTGTGTTCACCTTTCCTGCAACAATATATTATGTGTTTTTACGTTTTTATTTTTTTAGAATCAAGATAATTATTACAATGAAAAGACAAGATTTAGAAAAAAATTCAATACCTTAAATTCATATTACTAAAAGAAGTCAATCTCAAAAGGCTATATGTTATATAACTCCAACTGTATATTTTGGAAAGGCAAAACTATGGAGACAGTAAAAAGGTCAGTGGTACCCAGGGCTTAGGATGGGGATGGAGGGACGAATAAGCAAAACACAAGACTTTTAGGGCAGTGAAACTACTCTGTATGATACTGTAATAGTGGATTCTTGTCATCATACATTTGTCCAAACCCATAGAATGTACTCTACACCTTAAGTGAACTGTAATGTAAACTATGGACCTGAGTGACAATGATGTGCCAATGTAGGGTCATCAGTTGTAACAAATATACCACTCTGGTGGGGGATGTCGACAACTGGGGAAGGCTATGTATATGGGTTAGAGGGTATATGGGAGAGCTATAAACCTTCCTCTCAACTTTGCTCTTTTAAAAAAAAGCCTCTTAAAAAAATAATAAAATACAATAAAAATCTTAAAAAAAATACAATTTGAATAATTCCTATGCCTATTATAAAGGATATGAATCTATAAACATACTTTAGCTTTTTTCTTCTGTTTTTTCTTTGGTCCACCTTTGTCCAAAGGCCAGATTATCCTGTCAGCCTTCACCCATTCATCATACCTTAAAATAAAGAATATGTAAAAATTTCACAATGATACCCTATTTAAAATGTAGTCACCAAACAAAAACAACACTAAGATAAATTAAACAGTTTGTTTCTAGTATTGGTAGAAATGTGAAGGGCATAAGAGTTGGTTTGCTGGTAACATGTGCCAGCAACTGGACTAGGTGTATCAAATACTCACCACCAACAGCGGAAGGCAAGAGAATTTCTTAGAGTTAAGATGTTTGGAGGGAGGTATTGAGTAAGTAAACTCTAAATACCTCCAAGGCTACTTGAACTGCTTTGTTTTCCACAACTCCCACAGATCTGAGCTAACCAGCAGATTCTGCACTAGAATTCATTCTGTTGAATGACTAATACTATTCTATTGTACTCTATGACTAATTCATTCTATTGAATGATAAATCAGGTACATTCAAATTTGCGATATGATCAGTTCCAGATTATTGTTATCAAGTCCATTTCAACTTTTTTTTAACCTTCCCAGAGCTCTCTAGTATTTCTAATAGAAACCACACCCTCACTATAAACCAGTTATCACAAAGATGTGCAAAGTACGGACATGGTTCCAATATGCACAAGTTTTATTTGGCATAGTACCATGATAGATACCCACGCAGATGCTCCTCGACTTTCATGGGGTTATGTCCTGATAAACCTATCATAAATTGAAAGTATCCTAGGCTGAAAATGCATTTGATATGCCTAGCCTACCAAACATTCTAACTTAGCCTAGCCTACCTTAAACGTGCTTAGAACACTTACATTAGCCTGAAGTTGAGCAAAATCATCTAACACAAAGCCTATTTTATAATGAAGTATTGACTTACTGAATAAAATTTATCATATAACTTATTGAATACACTACAGAATATAGTACTGGTTGGTTAGCCTCGTGATCGTATGGCTAACTGGGAGCTGCCATCATTGCCACTGTCTAGTCTCATGAGATATTATCATATTGCATATTGCTAGCCCAGGAAAAGATCAAAACTCAATATTCTATGTACAACTTCTACTGAATGAACATCGTTTTTGCAACACCTTAAAGTCAAAAAATCCTTAAGTGGAACCACTGTAAGTTTGGGACTGTCCATACTATGGTTTGAAAACTGTCTTCCACTGGATTAAAGCAATATCTAAAGCTTCTGAAACAGGACTGGCTATGAAAATCGATTGTACCAGGCTTTTAAGTATCTGCAGTTTATTACATTATTTGGAGACATTCATTCATTTGGACATATACTGATGGCCTACTAGTATGCCAGGCAGTATAAGAGGAAGTATGCAGAGAATAACAGAAAACAAGGCCCTTGCTCTCATGCAATCCTGTCTGGTATGAAAGACGGACATACAGTACAGTCAACTGAAGCCTGGTAAGTGAAATAAGAGAGTTATGTATCTGATTCAGGGCTAACAAAGGAATAATTCTATCCAGTTCCAAAATTCTGCAGATCAAGCACAGGTCTGATTTATAGTACATTTGGTCCAGGCCACACTGGCCCAGTCAAAGCAGCTAGACATGTAGGTACTTCTAGCACTAATATTGCTGACCAAGGGTGGTCTTAGGATTTCTCAACGAGAGACCAGGACTCCCCTCACACTTGTAGATGCTTCCATTTTAGAAATCTGTCCAAATTCTCTAGAAACCAAAGTGGCTCCATCTCAATGAGGTCAGAATTATATCAGCTTTCCAGAGTATGGAAGGACAATGAAACACTACAAATCAGCCGGGCTTGGTTGCTCAGCCTGTAATCCCATGTCCTTGGGAGGCTGAGGTGAGTGGATTGCCTGAGCCCGTGGGTTCGAGACCCGCCTGGGC